AATTTGAAATTTAGATAAAAACAACTTGGGTAAAATTAACTATAAATAATTAATTTTAAGTAAATTAATTTGCATTTGAATACAATATTTTAAAAGTAAGTTGAGAAGAATCAAATATTTGTTGTTTGAAATGTAAATAAGATATATGTAAAATCAAATTCTATCCACCAAGATTTAACAAGGTGACGTGCGGCTGTTTCCGACGTTAGTGGTGATCGGAGAACGAAGAACGAAAACAAGGATGTGAAAAACTCTTTCCCATAAAAATTTAACACTAGGCGTGAGAATTACGGTCGTGATTTAGAATCACGGGCATGATTCTCACGGACCTTTAATGCTATTTGTGAAATTTGGTCAGAAGTCTCACGTTGAAGTATTTTAAATAAATTAGGATGAAATAAAAATAAAAAATTAAAGTGAGACCAATTTTTTTTAATATTATAAGAGACCAAATTAGGGTTTTAGCCTTAACTAAAACTTCCTTTATTTCTACCTCTGAAAAAAAAAAGTACGTGTTTATGTTAAAAAAGAGAAAAGATAATTAAATATATTCTAATAATTTGTATAATTATTAGAAAATATGTATAGTCTCTAAGAATAAATTGGAAAAAGTAAAAGTTGACATCAAAGGAGAAAATTTCCTTATCATTAGTATAAATTATAGGAAAAATAAAAATTTATTTTACATATATTAAAAATCAGTTACTTATATTAAGTTTTATTAATTTTATAAAATCTTGATAAAAAAAATTAATTTTATAAAATTCTTTTCAATTTATCTTTATTATAGTTAATGAAAAAGAGTTACTTCGTGTTTCTTTAAATCTTAAAAATAATAAAAATTAAAATAATAAAATAAACGGTTAATAAATAATTACTTTTATATATAAGTATAGATATAAAAGAAATAATGTAATTAATATATCAAACATTAAAAAAGATGATTTATAAAATATATTATAAAAAAATAAAAATAGTTAAAATTTATTTATATTTAAAAAAATATGTATTTCTTTTTTATTGTTTATAACATAGAATACAGGGATAGATGCTATTCCTTCTATTTTTTAATTATGGACTTTTAAATAAAATTTTGTTTTTAATTTTTTGTCTCTATGGAAGTTCAAAATAACATTAATTACCATTTTTCATTTATAGTATTATATATGTTTTACCTAATTTTTAATTAGTTTATATATATTGATAATTTATAAGGATTACAATAAAATTTAGTATTACCGATAATTATTTAATGGTAACAAATTAATTGCCTCTATTTATTATTTAATAAAAATATTAATGACTATTATATAATGGTCACTAAAAATGTATTTGCATCACATCAAAATTTACTATTATATAATGTATAAAATAAATATTTATTTTAGGTTAAGTTATTTTTTTAATTATTTTTTATCTTAATTTTTAAATTCATTTAAATTCTTTTTCTTTTATATATGATTCTTTATTTGTTAAAATATTTATTTTGATTATTTATCTTTTATACTTGAATCATTTTTCTTCTTTTAAAAAATAATACTCTTTAATTTTGTGACATGATTTTGAATCAATCTTTTATATCTCATGAGTAAATAAAAATTAATATGATTTATATTTTTAATTTTATAATTATTTATAGATTTATTTTTATGTAATTTTCACCATGTTTTGTAATACATTTTTGTATGAACTTCAATTATATTCTAAAGTTTTCATATATAAATGTAGTTAAACAAGTTTTAAGTCTTAAATTAATCAAAATAATATTTAAAATTATATCTTAAATTTTTTTTTAAAAAAATATTATTTTAAAAGAACTAAATTCACTCAAATTTAGAAGATAAATAATCAAAATAAATATTTTTAAAAAGATAAAAAAATCAAAATGAATCTAATAAATAAGATAAAGGATAAAAAATAATTTAATCATTATTTTATATAGATATATTTTATAATAAATAAATATTTATAATATTTAAATTTTTTTATAATGAAAATTTATAATAAATTAATATTTTTGAATTAAATTATATGTTAGATTTAAAACAAAAAATTTATATTATAATACAAATGTCTAATTATTGATATTTCTTTTAAATATTGAAATTAAGTTTAAAACTAAAATAAAAAATAAATCAAAAGAGATGAGATATTGAAAAAAATAATCTCAAATCTACTGTGTCATTAAAGAATATAGTTCCTAAAAATATTTTGATTTGGAATAACTATTTTAATATACACATAATGTTATATATAGGAATCTTTATTAGTACCAAAAAAATATATAGAAAGTTTATCCAATAGAAACATGCCTTATTATGTGATAAGAAGGCTAAAACTTTCATATTATGATATAAAATTATTTTAAATATTTATAAATAATTTTTAAAATATTAAAATTTAATTTTAAAAATGATAAAATATACATTGAATAAATAAGAAGTTAAAATAAACTTGAAAACTCTCACATTGAAGATAAAGATCATTTTTAATAGTAATTGGGTAATTCACCTTTTTTACCATACAAATTAAAAAAAAAAATCATTGACTTATTTACAAATATGTTTGTTGACTTACTTAAGATTAAGTTGTTATATTTAATTTTATTAATGTAAAATAGATTAATAAGTCATGCCAAATTTTTAAAAATGTCAAATTATGCTTAAAAAACGTTTATAATAAAATGTAGGCTAGCCTATTCAAATTCTAACATTATTTGATGTATTCCCATCTCTACATGACATTTAAATTTATTTTTTATGAAAAAAAAATTAGAAATTAAAGTTGGCAAAATTTTAGGATAAAAAATATATTTAAACCTTAACTTATTATAAGAAAACTAGTATTTTAATTTATGCAATGCATAAATTAAATATTTATTATATATAATTAAAATTGATAATAAATTAAATATACATATAAATATTATATTTGATGAATATATAAATTATATTTATAATTTATATTAATAAGAATTTTTAAATATATAAATTATATCTTATATTTATAATAAATAATTTATATGATACAAAGTTATTTTTAATTATTGATAATTTATTTTGATATTATTAAAATTTAATTATAAATAGTTATAATGAATAAGTTTTAAATTAAGATAGAAGTTTTAAAAAAATTTAAGAACCCTTTCATTAAAAAAGTGTGCCAAAAAAATTTATAAAACACTTTTGTAAAATACATAACCGATTGCATATAAGGTTGACAAAAAAAATTATAATTATAATTTTTTTTTGAAATTATACAAACTAAAATCTAGAAATTAATATTAATTTAAAAAAAAACCAAAAAAATAAAAACCAAAACACACTCCAATCTCCAAATAAGATATGAAAAATGTTTTTATTTTCTAAAAAACTAAAAAATCATCCAAATGGAATATAAGAAATGAATTTTATATATTTTAAAATTCTTTATCCTTTTTCATTCTGATAGAACATATTTTAAATTAATTGATTTAAATATATTTTTTGATTATTTAAATTTAAATAAATTTATTTTTAATATTTTAAATTTAAAAGTATTATTTTCAGTCATGTAATTAATGGAATATCACCATGAGTGACCACCGTGACAGAGAAAGAGACACCAGTGCTTTGTCAGGTTGAAAAAAAGTTTAGAGTAAAAATAAGAAATAAGCGAGGATGAGTGAAAAATGAAACGCTTAAATATGATTTTGTCATTTAAATTAAGTTAAATTTATTTTTAGGGTCTCAAATTTAAAATGTCTTTTTAATTTTTATAATATCTAAAAATTTTATTTTAATTCTTATACTTAAATTTATTAAAAATTTTGATAAATACATTATATAGAATTTATTTTTTTAATATTTTTATTAATAAAATTATCATATGTATGTCATTATAGTAATTTTAGTAAAAAACAGGCTTAGCGCCGAATTTCTGCATGTCAGCTTCGTGGAAATGACAAAATTCGGCCACCGAGATTCATCCCTGAAATCAGCCAACCCATTCAATTTATTCTGGAGAAGTCTCTCTCTGTCAAGATGGGCCAACGCGGTTTTATAAATATTTTTAAGACAACTTAGATTTATTCTACAAGTATTTTTAAGTACTGTTTTTCTTAATGTATAAATAACGGTTTATTGCCAAAAAATTATATATACAACTGTTTTTTTTATATATATATATGCATTTATAGTATTTTCATATTTATTTATAAGAATTGATTTCACAATTAATTGAGATAGACTTCTTATTTAATAATAATATTATTATTATACAATTATTTTTATCATTAATTATTAAATATTATTATTTTTATTTATAATAATTATTTAAGATTGTTTTACAAAAATCAAATAACCTGATAAATTTTTTATTTTCTACAAAATGATTTTGGTGTTTTCTCTTATATTTTTTTAAAATTTTTGTTTCATAATAAATACATATTATTTATTATATATAAATTTATTAAAAGTTAAATAAGATGTTAAAGTATAATTGATAAAATAATAATTAGTGTTATCTTAAAATTTTAAAATAAAAAATAAATAAAAATAAAATGTTACTAAAGCTCTAACAAATAAAAAGGAATCGAAGAAATATATAACTTTAAATGAATTTTAAACTCATCGATAAATTAAAGAGTATAAGCCAGAATCCATTACATTTTAGAGGAAGAAAAAAACTAAAACTGATATGAAATGTATATCATATTTCTTATTTAAAAATGTATCATTTTGTGATACTAAACTCATCTAGAAAACTGTATTTAAGTGTGAAGATTGACCAGATTGAGTGTGAGTGATGACTTGGACCAGCTTGACTGGTGTGTTCTTATTAGGCAGAGTTTTGGGTCCCAGTTCCAGTGCCGTATACCCATCAGTAACTTGATGGACTTTTTCGTCATTTCAATTGTGGGGGACACATAAGCTTTTCTTAATGAAAGGATCCATCATTATTCATTTGTATCCACCTCACTCTTCCTCACCTTTCCTCCCTCTTTATCTATATATAAACGCATGTGCCTCTCTTCATTTTCAAACCAAAGTAGCTCAAGCACTACATAGTAAATTTCAAAAAATGAAAAACGCCACTACTAGTGATTCATCAAAACTTGATCGCAAAACTATTGAAAAGAACCGAAGAATCCACATGAAAGCTCTATGCTTCAAGCTTGTTTCTACTATTCCTTCTAAGTATCTCAAACCCACCAAGGTATGTACTTCATGGATTTCGTAAGGTTAAGTAAGTATCTTACTATATCCATGAAAAATATACAAGTTGAGAATTGATTAAAAGAGAATGAATATTATTTTCAGGACATGCTTTCGCAGCAGGATCAGCTGGATCTAGCGGCCACGTATATAAAGCATCTGAGAGAAAGAATAGAGAAATTGAAGGGGGAGAAGGAGCAAGCGATGAACATGATGAGATCAAACCAAAACAATAATAAAATTTTCAATATTGGGTTAGAGTTGCCTTTACTCAATATACAGTACTTCGATTCGGGCATTGAAGTGATGTTGATTAGTGGGTTGAACAAGAACTTCATGCTCTATGAAGTAATTAGTGTCCTTGAGGAAGAAGGCGCTGAAGTTGTCAGTGCTAACTTCTCTACCGTCGCTGATAAGATCGTTTACACCCTTCATGCTCAGGTACAATCATATATACTCAAATCCAATTAAACACGGACACATATACCTAGTAAATTAAATTAAGGCCTTGTAATGTGTGTGGATATGTGTAAGTTTCGAGTTGTTATCACTCTCTTATGGGCCCAGTTATTTAATTAGGGTGTGAAGAATGATCACAGAATTTATTTTCATTTTGATAACATTTTTTTTTGGTATCAGGTTAAAATATCAAGAGTTGGTGTTGAGCCTACAAGAGTACATCAAAGGCTTCGGGAGTTGATTGCGCCACTAGAAAGCTGGGAATACATATCATGAATTAAGGCAAATCAAGAGAGCCCCGTCCAACAACACATTAAAAAATGACAACATGCAATAGCCAATAGCCAATGGGCGCAGTTATATATGCATGCCGTAGCACCTTAATCTGAAGTATTACGAAGCTTAGGTTGCAAATGTTTCACGGATACTTAGTTATAATTACTTGTTTAAAGAACTTTCTTCTCTTCACGTGTTCAGATAATGTACGTTACTACTTAATTTCATGAGTTTATTATTTGGTTCGCAGTCACTTCTTGTGAACTAATATTCCTAATGGTTTTAATTTATAGACTTCACAGCCAGTTTATTTTTCATTAAAATAAAATACAACCTTATATATATATATATATATGGACATTTTCTGAGCAATGACTTAAATCTCTCCCAGGCTTCACAAAATGGCTCATCTACACCTTGCCTGAAAGTAGTGATTTCTGACTTGGCCTTAATATACTTGGATGAAGGATAGAATCGGTTCACAAACTTATTTTCCACATCACCCCAGCTTGTCAAACTTTGATTTGGGTGAGATTGTAACCAAACTTTAGCTTTTCCTGTCAAAGAAAATGGAAACAACCTCAAATATACAGCTTCCTCATCAGCCTTAGGAATTCCCATAGTTCCACATAACTCATAGAAATTTGATAGGTGTGAGTATGGGTCTTCATGATCAAGGCCAGCAAATTGTTGTGAGCTAACCAAGGTAAGGAAGGCAGGTTTCATCTCCATGGCTCTAGAAGTGTTTGGAGCTGCAATGCTAGAGAAATGTCTAGGACCCTGTTGTTGTGCATAATCACCTAGGGTCCTTCTGGGAGGCCTAGTTGGTCCATTTCCACCATTATTATTTCCTGTTCCGTCTTCAGCCATTGGTTGATTTGATGAAGTAGAAGAACTTGGAAAATCCTGCTCAGCAACACCAGCCAGCTTATCCTTCTATGCATGAAAGAACCAGCAAATTGGAGGATACTCTGAACCAGTTCATGCAGGTGTCTATGAATAACCAGAAAAATACTGAAGCTTCCATCAAGAATTTGGAGGTACAGGTGGGTCAGCTAGCTAAACAATTAGCTGACATGTCTGGAGGACCATTTTCAGCCAATACCATGACCAACCCCAAGGAGTATTGCCAAGCTATAACAACAAGAAGTGGGAAGGTAGTTGGTGAAGATGTTGGAGTGAGTGAGAACAATGAGGATGCTGAGAATGAGGGAGAAAATAATGAATTGAAGGAGGTTGAGGAAGAGATTGAGAAGAATGAGGAAGAAAACAATAAGAGTGAGATTATAAATAGTGAAAAACAAAAAGAGAAAAATGGAGTTGAGAAGGAGAAAAAGAAAAAGAAGGGAAAGGAGGTAATTTCCACTGTTCCTATTCAAAACTTACCTTACTCTCATGCTCCTTCCAAGAAAGAAAAAGAAAGACAGTTCTTGAGATTTCTGGATATCATAAAAAAGCTCCAGATTAATATTCCTTTCACTGAAGCCATGGAGCAAATGCCCACATATGCTAGGTTCATGAAGGAATTGTTAACTAAGAAAAGGAGAATGCTTGAAGAAGAGACTGTGGAGCTTGAAGCAGGATGCAGTGCCATTATACAGAAGTCTCTACCTCAGAAGTCCAGAGATCCAGGCAGTTTCACTCTCCCTGTATCAATTGGTAATCTGTCAGTGGGTAAGGCACTCTTAGATCTTGGAGCTAGTATTAATTTGATGCCTTTATCCATGTTGAAAAAGATAGGAGAAGTGGAAGTGAGACCTACAAGAATGACCTTGCAGTTGGCAGACAGATCCATCAAGATTCCACATGGTATAGTGGAAGATATGATTGTAAAGGTTGACAAGTTCGTTTTTGGGTATGATTTCTTCTCGGCCATTTTCCTGTTTTCTTCTTAGGAGTAGATTTAGTGTAGTTTCTTGTCCTTCTTGTAAGCACGTAGTGGAATTGTATACCTGAACAATATGCTTCAACCTGTACTGTAACTTGATCATTATATAAAATTAAACCATGATTTGTATTGCCAATATCATTATTGTTCATTCTGTTCATCTAAGTGTTTACGTGCATGGAAATAATTATCTATTAATCATTGATGAATGCTTAGAGACCAGTAATTATTGATCATTCTATTTCATTCCTTTTCATTGTAATCCGAGAACATATGCCTAAATTGAAACACTTGTTGTGCTAGTCTAAATAAAAAGAATCTGGGTTGGAGCTGTGATCAAAATTATGAATTAACGCTAGCTTTAAGTATATACCCTCAAAACATTATGTTTGCTGTCGCTTGTTTAAATAACATAAAAATCAAACTTTACAACAATACAAATCAATTGAACTTTTTTTTTAACAACTTTTAACTTCACACTTCCTTTTCCAATGCTCTTAGTATGAATCAAACAACACTCCAGCAGTGACTACCAGTTACTTTCCTCCCTCTTCCATTATCTCATATGACCACACTCATCAGAATAGAAGTTTGAAATACGGATCTTTGTGTATTTTTGACAAAAAAAAAGTGATGCAGTTTCATTGTGACTCAAAATATTTACTACTTTTATTCAACTTCACATCGCAGTTGTGAGTTACAGCAATGGAATGGTAATATTTCGCCAACAGATGGTGGAATCATCAATTTAGAATTATGATTATAACATTTTCATTTTACGGGAATGTAAAGCGGATGAAAAATTATAGGTTGAGACCACAAATTGCAAGTGCGACACAAATAATGATGACCATTTATTTTTTCCCAAGATATATGGAAGAAAAATAGCTTAGAGGCACATATCACATTCCTGATTCAAAAACTAAACTGAACTGAACTGGTGGTGAACTGAACTGTACTGTACTATAAAAAACTGAACTGTTTGTAAAAAAATTGAACTGAACTGTTTAAAAAAAATTGAATTGAACTGAATTATTAGAAAGTTAACTGTACTGAACTATAAAACTGAACTGAATTATAAAAATTGAACTATTTTTATAAAATGATAGAAATTAAATGTGTCTAACATGTTATGTCTTAATGGATTAACTCGATAGTCTAATACCGAAAACTTTAGAAAAAAAAAGTGATCCAAAAAAAATTGTATCAATTTTGTCGAATCTAACGGATCAATTGAGTTATGTTGGACTACTTATTTTTAGGCTTAAAGTTTACTGAGTTTGTTTGACTTAATTTTATATTTTTTTCTTTGAAAAATTTAAATAAAATGGAAAATAAAGTAATGTTGGCAAATGTGTCCTATTTTGATAGATCAATGAGTCAAAATTGTTCAATTCAAAATATCATAACAGTTTAATGCAGTTTAAATTGCAATTTAGTTCAAGTTTTTATAGTATAGTTCAGTTCAGTTCAATGACACAAAAAAATAGTTCAGTTCAGTTCGTCTGAACTAATATTTAGTTTAGTTCAGTTCATGAGAACTATTTTTAAGTTCAGTATAGTTTTTATAAGTTCAGTTCAGTTCAGTTCATTTTGCCTACCCCTTGATTCCTCAAGTATATATGAACGCCCCAGACCCATAGAAAAAATATATTATAAATGTCACTATTATTAGTTGGACATGAATTAGGGTTTTAAACTTGACTTTCAAACTTCAAGCATTAATTTCATCAATAAACTTCTCTTCAAAGGATGCTTAAAATTTGCATTTTTGTTAGGAGAGCTACCAAGCTAATAAACTATAACATATTATTTCTTTTAAGTACACCCTAATAAGTTGGGGCAACACTTACCTTACAAGTTGATTTGTATGGTTGAGTGTTAGACTTATAATCTACAATCTTAGAGTTTAAAAGATTATATATCACATGTTGGAAGCGTAGAAATAAATGCTTCGGATAAATCCATTGTAATCATTTGAAAGTTGAAAAATTATTGATAGAATTTGTAATAATTTCTTTGATTTTTTTTGTAAAAAATATTCCTGCAGAATTTTATGCGAAAAATTTGCAGGAAACTTTTCTGTGAATTTTTTTTTGCAGAAAACTTTTCTGTAAATTTTTTTCATAAAACATTTTGCAAAATTTTTTTTTACGAATTTTAAAATTTATAAAAATATATTATTCACGAAAGTATTCCTACAAATAAAATTTTAATACAAAATTTGTAAAAAAAAATCGGATGTAATAAAAGAGAAATTCCGGTCAGAATAAATATATATGCCATTTTGCCACCCTTTAATGCTGCGTGCTATTTGGACAGGAATGGAGACCTTCAATAAGAAAGAAAAAGTAGTATGAATAAAACGATGGTGGCCCCCGCTGCTGTTTTTAGTTGTGCTTGACGAAAATTATCTGCCGAAATTATGAATATTTTCATGCGCACACTCATTTTTTCCGCGGTGATGTCTATGATGGAGAAGTTGGACAAGTGGTCCATGGATGGTGCATTTAAAATCACTATAGATATAATATTAAAAAAAATGAATGGTCGAGATTATGATTCAGTGAGAAAATATATTGTACACCTTCACACACTGGATAAATTTTTTGAATATTTTACTGAATTTTTTTTTTAAATTACCTAAAAAAAACACGTATTACGATGACTGACGCAGCAGCTGTCACTTCCAGAACGGCCCATTCTAGATGAAAAAATAACACAGGAATAATGCACCAGAACGGGCCGTTCTATAAGGAAAAAAAACACGTGATAAACTATACCAGAACGGGCCGTTTGAAATCTGAACGGCCCATTCCAAATTTAAAAATAACATATGATTACTTAAACCAGAACGGGCCGTTCTGAATTCGGAACGGCCCGTTCTGGCTACATATTTGTTTTTTTTTTTTTTCATTCTACTAAATCACATTTAAAATTTAAGTATAGTTTTTCAATTGAGCGAGATATGAAGCCCCTTCCTCAATGACATCAAACATCTTATGAATAAAGGCCAAAACTAGGCCTAATAAACTTAAAACCCAAAAAGTCTTATACTAAGGCCCATAATACAAGACCAAACAATATAAACTCCTATACTACCATCTATGTAAAGTCTAAGTAAAAAAAACCTTATGCCCATCAAACCCATTAGGCTCACTAAGCTCAAAAGCAATCAAAAGTCTAAAGGCCCATGAAGCCCAAAGCTAGGCCCAACAAGCTTATAAAACCCAAAAAGTCTTATACTTAGGTCCATAATACAAGACCAAACAATATAAACTCCTATACTAAAGCCAAAGTAAAGAGAACTTTAGGCCCACCAAACCCATTGAGCTCACTAAGCTCAAAAGCAATCAAAAGTTTAAAGGTCCAAGAAAACTAGGTCCAATAAGCTTAAAACCCAAAAAGTCATATACTAAGGCCCATAATACAAGACCAAACAATATAAACTCCTATACTACCAAATATATGAGAAAGGTGGTCATCTATGACAAACTCAAGTAAAGCGAACTTTAGGCCCATCAAACCCATTGGGCTCACTAAGCTCAAAAGCAATTAAAAGTCCAAAAGTCCATGAAGCCAAAAACTAGGCCCAATAAGCTTAAAACCCAATTCCAAATGGCTTGGCCTTCAGCGTAGTCAAAGAATAAGTGTCATTCGTTTTCCAGACCCGTGTTACAGTGGGCACAAAGGATAGTGCATGGCACACCTCGTTGTTATAGCCGATAGCGAGAGGGTAAACAATCTCTTAGTATTCTCCAGAGGAAGATCTTCATTGTTTGCGGTAGCTTAAGTTTCCATAGTTGCAACTAGTTACCCGGTTCCCTAAGGTGTGAGTTGGAGATAAGTGACTCCATGATATAGTAATACGCTGATTTGACGGTATAGCTACCCTTTCTAGAGAGGTTCCAAGTGATGGAGTCCC